ACGAAAACACGAGTCTGAATGTTAATAATGGAAATAAAATGAATAGTCTTGACTAAATCTTTGAATAATAATGATTGTTCTCAAAATTCAAGAATATAATTTCAATGCCTCAACTAATAATTACAAATACTAATTCCATTGCCCGAGTAATTTCTGACATTTTAATGACACGAGTCATAATCGAAAGAATAATGCGATCAGTTGCCCAGATAATGTAAATGATTCATTTAAAATGTACAGACGATGTGTATAAACAAGGCGAACAAGATCGGAAGTTTCTCTTATTGACAACACCAGGACTTCGAAAGTTTCTTTCATTGACAAGACAATGTCACCAAAAGTTTCTTTGATTGACATGACCAAAACTCCAAATGTTTCCAGCATCTTTAGCTATGGTACGGATATAAGAGTACAATTTGAGACTTGCAGTCAGCCTTGAACCTAATAGACATTGGAGTCATGGAGCCCTATTGACAAAACGAACGCGAGTTACAGTCGGGGTGCATTTAGAGCTTGCTCGGTGGTGTTGAATAGTCATTTGTTTGTTTTGGAAGTATTCAATGATGCAGGCCAGTTTTTTTTTTCCCACATTGATCTGTTGGCGTTAGATTAATAGAACCACCAGCTGCGAAACTAGCATTTCTGGTTAAAAGTCTGCTGGATATAGTGCAACATGATCTTCGTTTCTAAATCGAAAACACATGAGGAATCCAAAATCTATCTTTTCAGGTTTTCCAAATTAAACTCTGAAATGCAGTATAAATAACAAAATGGCGAAAACAGATGTTATACTAATTCGAGACGTAGTTTCCAACCATTCAACCTTGCTTCTCCTTTGGTTGGTTGACTAACAATTCATAGCAGTTTCCTACCATTCAACCTTGCTTCTCCTTTGACTATTTGACTAACAATTCATAGCAGTTTCCTACCATTCAACCTTGCTTATCCTCTGCTTGGTTGACTAACAATTCATAGCAGTTTCCTACCATTCAACCTTGCTTCTCCTTTGGTTGGTTGACTAACAATTCATTACAGTGGAACATGTAATTACTTTCTGAACAGCCTAATAATGAAATAATTCCAGACTTAGTTTTCTACAATTCAATCTTGATTCTACCTTGGTTAGTCGACTTACAAATACTAGGTTGAGTCAAAATCTTTTTTCCTATTTGAAGCTTAAATTAATACTTCAGGCAAATTACATACATTTATCCATCAAAATATATCCCATATTATTCGATTGTCTGTTGCCACCAATTCTAAGCTGATACTATTTGGCTGGTTTAGAGTAATAAAAAAAAAGCTCCCTGCACCCGTTTTCAACCTCATCCACATTGTTGAACCTCCGTCTGCGCTGGAAATGAACCATGACTCGGAAAATGTTGTAATCTGATGCTGCAAGGTCTGAATTGTAGGCAGGTTGAGGCAGCGTAAAATAGCTCTAAATGCATTTTTTCGCCACATTATCAACGCTGTAAAATAAAATAAAAACAAACAATTACCAGGGGAGCTAACCAAATTTCGTTGACTAGGGGGGGTACTGTCACCCCTAGGACCACCAGCAGCTTTTGCGACCGGACAGGGTACTGTTTTTCGTTGTAGACGTGTCAGTCTCTGCGATTTTTATGGCAAGTCAGAATTTTCAACGTTGTGTTCAATAAAAGCGTTTGCTTTTGATCGTTAAACAAAACACTGGTAGTGTCCGTTATCATGCCATGTAAGGTAATCAGATGTGATTCACGTTGGAAGTGGAATTGTGTTGCCAGCATGGTTTCAGTTAAATTTGTTTATTTTGAATCTTGACTAGTTCTAACCCGATGCCTGTTGAGCTGTGGTCCGGAGAAGATGTGAATCACTCTTCCGCCACCGGCCAGTGATGCCCACCTTTAAAAGGAAGGAAACGATTGGCCGTCCAAGGAATTCACGGCATCCGGTCTCAATAGGCAGCACACAGCATGTCCACCGCTCTTCCATGCGTTCGGATCGCAGCGATTCGTTGCGAATCCTCTTTGTTCTCCTCCCATGGAAATGTTAAGTCTACTAAGAAGGCACACTTCTTTGAAAACGACCACGTTACAAATACCAGGTCGTGCGTCTTTCTGGACGATGTCTACCAGAAATTGTAGAAGTATTGTAATATCCACTTACACTTTCCAATACCTGGATGCATTCTGTAATTTGACTTTAAAATCGGACACTATTTTCCGAACAAACTAATAGGAAGAATAGATTTAAAACATTTAAAGTTCATAGAGATAAGTGTGAATCTGATATTTTTGTCTTCTTTCGATGATTTCAGTTTTTGTTGAACTCGGTTTATGTCTGTGTAGGTAGAAATTATAACACAGAATTCAAAACGACTGAACGCCGGCGGAAATATTAAGGCGATAACACGGCGTGGGCTAGGTTGCGCTAAGTTTTTTACTTACGTATTGGCGAATGAAAAAGAGAAATGTGATAGATTTCTGGCGCGTGCCATGGTTTAAATACTGGCTAGTAGTGACGTCATTGTTTCCAATAGCAACACTGGTTATAAAAACAAAGGAATTAAATTTTATATTTAAAAAGCATTTTTTTCACTACCTTTGAATACTTTTAGACTCTAATCCCGTGTACACTTGGACCTCTTATATTAAAAAGCCTTCAGCTATATTCAAAACGAGGGTGCGCTGTTAGGTGGGGCACAAGGCCGTAAATATGGAGCATTAAATGCGAATTAAACTCAGTCGTAATTAACTTTACACCAAGCAGAAGTGCTCCAGTGATATTACTAAGTGTATCTTAGGCTTGACACAAGGCTATAGATAGTGAGCACCAGGCAAAGATTGAACTCAGTTCTAATTGACTTTGCACCACGTCCAAGTGCCCTTGTGATTTTCTAAACGTAGGTTAGGTGTGGTACAAGGGCATAAATATGGAGCACCCAGTGAGGTTGAATTCAGTCGAAATTGAGCTTACAAAGCGTGCTTGCTAACAATTAGACAAAGCCGAATTGTTCTCGTGACTAAGCGTGGTTTAGATATGAACAGAGTGCGCAGCAGAATCAGCCCAGAGGTTAGGACAAGAACAGTGTGGATTCATTAAAGACACTGAAACAAGGAACGCGATATTCATGCCCAGAATATTATCAGAAAGACTATGCAAAGGCCTTCGATAAAGTACACCACAAGAATCTGATGGAACTGCTCAGCAACCTCAATATATTCGGGAAAGATATGAGAACAATCAAGAACCTGTACTGGCAGCAAACAACATGCATGCGCATAGGGAACGAGTTTAGTGAATATATAAAAAATAGAAAGGAGCGTAAGGCAAGGTTGCGTCTTCTCACCGGACATGTTCAACCTATACAGTGAGGCAATCCTGAGAAAATTGGATTTAGCATTGGCGGCCACAATATTAACAACATAAGATACGCAGATGACCCAGTACTGGTAGCAGACGCGGAAATGAAATTACAAAATCTCTTACAGAAGGTAGCGTCGGAGAGTGAGAAGAAAGAACTAAGCATAAACCACAAAAAAAACGGAGTGTATGGTCATCAGTAAGAGGATGAGTCCAAAAAGCGATCCTAAGGTCGGGAACACTAGAATCAAGCAGACGCACAAGTTTAAATATAAGGGAAGCGTCTTGACAATAAGTGCGACAGTGAGATCCGTAGGCGCATTGGGATGGCCAAGGACACATTCCAAAAGTTAGGCGAGTAGAGTACTGCGAGACAGGAGGTTTTCTTTGGTAACAAAGAAAAGAATACTGAACTGTTACGGGACATTTGTCCTTCTTTACGGCAGCGAATGTTGGACGATTTCCTCAAAGATGAAGAAGAGACTCGAGGTGACGGGATATGGTTCTACAGAAGGATGCTAAGGATATCATGGACCGAGCGTGTGAGCAACGATGAGGTCTTAGAAAAGTTGCAAACAAATAGGAAGCTTATACTTAATATCAGGAAGAGGCAGCTGGAGTTTCTGGGACACATAATGAGGAAGGAGGGACTGGAGAATCTGATACTCACGGGTCGAATAGAGGGAAAGAGAGACAAGGGAAAACAATGCATGACATGCCTTAAGCAGGTGGATGACAGAACGTTGTCTGGGGGAGGAAGCAGAAGGAAGGAACTTGTTGAGAGCTGCAAGGGATAGAGATTACCTACGCCCTGAAAGGACATGGCACATAAAAAGAACGAAAAGAAAATGGAGCACCCAGTGAGGGTCAAACTCAGTTTAATTGACCTTACAAAACGTTGAAATGCGCTAGTGTTTTATTATACGAAACTTAGGTGTGGCACAAGGCCGCAATATCGAGCATACAGGGAGGTTCGAACTCAGTTATAATTGACCTAGCGAGACGACCTTGCTAACCCCTAAACCATGTCGAAGTAGACATGCAAGATCATAATGAGAGTGTTAATTTGTACGCCCACATCGTACCACATGTTTCATATCTGACTTCGACCAAATGGGCAAAAATAGCTGAAATCACCTTGGCACTTCCTCTTTTGGGGATGAAGTAGTCGCCACCGAAGAAGAGGTACTGACTTAGAGGATGGCCTCTAGAGGCTGGGACTATTATCAATTTTGAAACTCTCGGGTGGGCAGATGAAATATTATATACTGCACTGCGTAACTTAGATATGGCACAAGGCAGCAAGTATAGCAAACTCAGTAAGGATCGAATTTAATTATAATTGATCTACTGAGACAAGCTTGTTAACCGTTACACAACGTTGAAGAATCCATACAGAAAAGAATGAATAGAATGTTTATGTCTAATATCAATAATCATTCGATCTTTTGTAGATAGCTTCATAAAGAATTTTATTGATTGGCTGTCAGAAAGGCTTCTCCCTCGCCATGTCGTCAGAATTTCAGTTGCTGAATTATTTTCTTTTCTTTTAAAATACTTCTTACTTGTCTGAACATTGTTCATTTTAATTATATAATGTGCAAGTTGGTATTAAATTTAAAGCTGGTCGTAAGTGTAGTCGCAATGACGTGACTTCAACACGAAAAGCGTGCAACGAAAAGAAATGAAAGAAGCAGTCTGCGCAAATAAACCGCTGAGCGGGTGTCTGGATGCTGGCCAGAATTATCAATCAACGTCACATTACAGAATTCAATGTTGAGCGACTGTATAGTGAGCGAGATAGTTGCGCATTTCTCGCTGGCGAACCCAATATAAAACCTCGACGAAAAATTGTCTTGCTAGGTCAATTACTAGCGAGTGTGTTCGATTCTGCGCCATACTTTCGGCTTTGTGCCACATCTAGCACTGTGGTGAATAGTCACGTAGAAGCAAGCGAGGTAGAGTGGCTTGCATCTGGTGCAAAAGAAAAATAAGGGTCTTACCTCAACGTGCGACACGTGGCATCGGCAGTTTTGCTCTTGAAAATGGCATTACTCTCTCGTCTAGCGATTCCTGCCGTACATATTTACTTGACCCCTACCCCCCAGCACCACTGAGCCAGGTTGTGACACAAGGTCATTTTTTAACGTGGGGACCCGAGTATTTTCACTCGGGCCGCTGGTCCAAGCTGGTGTTAGCTGGTCATAGCTTGTGCAAGCTGTTAAGAGCTGGTCTAAGCTAGTCATAGCTGGTCTTGGCTTGTCATAGATGGTCCAAGCTGGTCAGAACCGGTCCAAGCTAGTCGTAGTCGTGATACCACCAGCACAGGAACGGAGCCCTGAAGCAGGTAATTATGAAGCGATTTCAGCAGTATGGATATTTACTTGACCCACCCCCACTGATTAAGGTTGTGACACAAGGTCAGTTTTTAATGTAGGAACCAGGGTGTTTTCACTCGGGCCGCTGGTCTAAGCTGGTTTTAGCTGGTCATAGCTTGTCCAAGTTGGTCAGAGTTTTTTCTAAGCTAGTCATAGCTGGTCTTGGGTTGTCATAGCTGGTCCAAACTGGTCAGAGTCGGTTCAAGCTAGTCCTAGTCGTGATACCACCAGCACAGGAACGGAGCCCTGGGGCAGGTAAGTATCAAGCGATTCCAGCAGTATGTGCGTTAACGAGGGGGGTACAGTTTGGCATGTCGTGTGCTGATTGGTCAGACAGGAGGAAGCTATTTACCTGGGTAACTGAGAATAACGCTGATTGGTTGATCGACAGAGGTGTTGACCTGATAAAAGAGGGCTGAAGCAGCGAGAAGGGGAGAACAGATATAAGAAAGGCAAAAACGGCGGATTGAACCAGCGGTATCTTAAACGACGACCGAGTAATAGATTCATTTAAATTACATGCGCTTAGAAAATCACAATAAAACCTAGGATTGCACATTGATAGGCAGGCAAATTTCTGTTTCTCACTTCTTAGAGTGCCTACCGGGGATCCTAAGCACGGCAGAAGGAAGCGATACCTCTCCCTACGTATTAGAAATGGATAGCCAGACAACCTGTATATATGATTTGATTATAGTGGTGAGGGTTTTCTGCAGAACCAACCACACTTGACCAGGTGCACCATGTGCCACAAAGATCCCCAAAGACCCTCCTCAGGTTTTGAATTCAGAGTTTCCTTCTCCTAGACCAGTTGCCATCCAAGGCCTGCCCTGCTTTTTACCCATAACTAGGGAAGAAGTAGAGGTTTCATACCTTTTCCATTCGACTGGAATTCGAACTCGGCTCTGCGATTCCTCAATCCGAGCCGGGATCTATTATTCCATATGGTGGACTCTCCTATCGTGGACGATAAATGAGGATCAGCAGTGGATGAAGCCCTTCGTTTCACAATTATGCATGCTAGCAAGGGCTATTGTTGAGAAAATCTGGTAAAGAAAGATATATTTCATTTTGGGTGGTGGGATTTAAAGTAATCATATAGTAATTCATCGAGCCTAAAATAACCTTAAACAGAATGTACTGGACGGCCGTTTCGTCCTATATGGGACTCATCAGCATTGCGCATCCACTATCGAGAATCGAACCCGAACCATTTCGATACAACGCTAGCGTCATGCCAACTGTACCACGGGCCTCGGTGACGAAGCAGACACAAACTAGACTCGATATAGCGCCGCTACTCAGTCCCGCAGCGGTACTCATCCAAATATACGGATAACCTCGGAACAGTGCCCCAAGAATATATATATATATATATATATATATATATATATATATATATATATATATATATATATATATATATATATATAATGGACTCTTCCGTCGGTTTCAACGTATGAGGATATGACAGCTTAGTTCATTCAGTTATGAAATTTTGTGCGATAATCTTAAGTGGCATTTAAGAAGATAAGAACGAATCAAGGTAAACCACCAGAAAATCCACCCAAGTGATTTGATTAAAATGGCGAAGGCTTGTTCAGAACCAACAACACTTTTCGGAACTATTGATACACTTAGTCGGTGCAAATAAATGCCACAGACGAAGCAGACAATATACCTGAGGATTTTCGTTTAAGAGTTTTCCATCTCCTAGACCAATCGTGTTCTATAACACTAAAGAGCTTGGTCAGCACTGGTAGACACTATTTGCCCATAGCTGGGACCCTAACAGGTGCTACCACCCCGAGTCAGGGCGGACCTGGGAACAAAAGCAATTAAAATGTGTTTCCACGCTCCTCAAATCCTTCAATTTCCCGACGAGAAGACTTGCCGCCGGATCTAGTTTATCGTCATACACAGGACATTATATATATATATATATATATATATATATATATATATATAAGAGAGAGAGAGAGAGAATATGATATATGGATTCCTATAAATATCAGAACAATTTTGCGCAAATGAAAAAAAGTGAAAAAAATACTTTGCGCTCTGACATTTCTAACGCCGAAAATAAATTTTAATTAAAAATTTAAAAACTTTATCGTCCCCACATATTCTGCCCTTCCCTGGTGTTTATAATTATAAACGACGTTTTACGTTTTTATCGCCTCCCTTAGCTGATTAATGTCACCTTCAGCATCCGTGTCCGCCCACTCTTCAGTAGGTATCAGCAATTTTCTGCTTATATTCTTAATTTATCTTTTTTATATACTTATCATTGATGAACGTTTTTTTCCTGTACTTTTGTGCTATATATATATATATATATATATATATAAGTTTTGCCAGCATTTTTACGTTTTTCTGTTTTTTAGGAGTAAGGGAGTACAAAAGTTTTCCATAACTTCCATTGTCCCAAGCGCTTTCAAGACCTTCTATAGCCATTTCCAAGAATGTTTGTTTCTCTCATGTTTTGACTGTTACGTTGTAAGTTATTCTTGTGTTGTTTTGAATACCAGCGTTCCTTCCATCTTTTAACATATTGCATGCGGCTGGAATACGCGTGAGCATCTTTCAAACACAACCTGTGGAAGCTTGGAATGAACGCTCCTATTCAAAACGAGACAAAAAATAAATTACAATGTAACAGTCAAAACAGAGATGGTGCATTATGGGTAGCAAGGTCTATTGTATTATACTAACTGTTATAGCTTTCGGCTCACATATTCACCATCAAAGATGATATTCTGTTATGTTGGTATAGAAGCTTAAAAAAAGCTTAGATCAAGGATAAAAATATCCAAATGTTAGACAAGTGAACACTGAAGTCATCACTCAGAGGCGATATGGGCCAGTGGTGCATTGTGGGTAATCTATTCTGGCGGTTATTTTTGGGGAGTGTCTTGTTTATTCATTTATTTGGGTTAATTTATTTTACTTACTTATTGTATTATTTATTCTTTTCGGTTTTTGATGTTTTATTAACGTAGTAAAAAAAAATGGTGGGATTTGCTTAGTTCGCTTATTTAATAGTTTGTTTTTGGTCTGGGAAGATAATTAAAGCTATTTGTTCGTACAATGTTTAGATTGCTTGCCGTAGTCTATTCTGTTATTTTTGACCTTGGACATTTTCTAATTTATTTATTTGGATTGATTATTTTTATTTGTTTTTGCTTATTTATGCTTATTTTTATTAGTTCTAACGGTTATTTTAGCGGGGGCGACTTGTTACTTTGTTCATCTATTTATTTATTTGGATTAATTTTTATTAGTTTTTTTTATTCATTTACTTATTTTTATTTTGTGTATTTTCATTTACTCTATTTGGTTTTCGATTTTTGAGTAACGTAGTAATGTTTGTTTATCGTTATATAGCAATTATAGCTATTTTTACGCCCAATTTTTGGTTGTTGTTGTCTATTCTAATTTTATTTTGGGGGATTGGTTTGCTAATTTGTTTATTATTATTTACTTTATTTATTTATTTAGGTTGATTATTTTTACTTGTTTTTATGTATTTTAGTTTTTATTTTATTTATCCATTTCGACTGTTCTGTTAACTGTTAATTTGTATATTTTTTGTATGGGTAATTTATTTTATTATTTTTTATGTTATTGTGTTTATTTGTATTTATTCATTTCAGTTTTCGATTTTTAAGTAACGTTGTAAAAAGCCTTTTTTATGTTTGCATTTTGAGATGAGCTCAGATCGTTTATTTAGTAATTTATTTTGGTTTGGGAAGGTAATAATACCTATTTTTTCCTCCCAGAAAACCTGCAGGTTTTTGAATGATTACTGTAGGCTATGATCTTTTCTTTATTTTCCATGATATTTTTGGTGCGATTTGTATTTTGTTTTTAATTTCCCAGATATACCTAGAAAGCATTGTGCTGTTCGCATATTTACGATTTGTGAAAGATGTTTTGTGTGCATATTTTCTTTGTTTCCAGGGTCCTTCAGTTACTCCTACGCATATTTTTTCTTCATTATCTGGTGATTATACTGTGGCTTGTTATATTACGTTGTATATATATATATATATATATATATATATATATTAATATCAAACACTTAAAATACCATAGGTAATAATCTCTATTTTATGAAAGCTATAAAAATAACCTTCTACGTTTCAGACCTGCAAAACAAATATAAACGGAAAAATCACTGCAGGTTAAATTCAAGAGATACAGATAACGTATAAAGGAAGAGGGAGAAAGAGAAAGAGAAAGAGAAAGAAAGGTTCAAATTTATGAACATGTGATGGTGGCGGAGGAGTGGAAAGTCGGAAGAAGACCTGAGGATTTATTCTCAGTAGACTTTAAGGTTTGAGGTGACCTGATTTAATATAACATTACACATGTAGCATTTTGGTTTAGAGGTTGCTTGAAAATATTGTAAATCAATGGGAGTTAAGAAAAACTGCC